GACTATTGCCTTTTCAGTTTCAGCTTTGCTGCTTCTGTTACCGATAAACATTCTCTCTTTAGGGCATGAAGTAGAGCATACATATTAGCTCAGTGCATGAGTGTGATTTCACCTCATCACTCTCATCATCAACAAAAGAGTGAAACTGGTTAGACATTAGAAAAAACTTCCTAATTGTCAGCGTGGTTAAGCATTGGAATGACTATTGCCTTTTCAGTTTCAGCTTTGCTGCTTCTGTTACCGATAAACATTCTCTCTTTAGGGCATGAAGTAGAGCATACATATTAGCTCAGTGCATGAGTGTGATTTCACCTCATCACTCTCATCATCAACAAAAGAGTGAAACTGGTTAGACATTAGAAAAAACTTCCTAATTGTCAGCGTGGTTAAGCATTGGAATAAATTGCCTAGGGTGTTTGTGGAATCTCCGTCATTGGACACTTTTAAGAGCAGATCAGCCAAACACATGTCAGGGATGGTCTAGATACTTAGCCCTGCCATGACTGCAGGGGACTGGATTAGATGACCTCTCGAGGTCCCTTTCAAGTTCTAAAATTCTATGATACTAAGACTATGTATGAGGTGCTGTCAACAGCTCAAAATGCACAAAAATGTATATTTAGCCATTTCATTCATTTCTACTGTTACTCATAGCTATAGCATGTAGCAGCCTCTTTAAATATTTATACTGCAGAGGCAGATTAGCCTTGAGCTATAAATCAAAGCCATCTTTGTTCACTTTTGTTCTTCGATTTTAAGAAGACAAATCAATAACAAAGGTGGCTCTCTCAATACCATGTTGGAAAGGAAGCAGAGGTTTTATTTTTGATGTGGGTAGGCAAGTTACCTTGTAACGTATTTCCCGGGGTAAGGAAGACATTGGATTTTGTGTCCATCATAGTAACCGTCTCTGGCAATAACAAGGAGACACTTTTCCTATCCTCCATTGTGATTGGTTCTGTATTTTTCATGGTGTCTATAGCAGCCACTTCAGCTTCTGCCAAGGGACTTGTGAAATAAACAGAAGTTTGGACAGCGGAAAATGTTGGCATCACCTCTCCCTGCACCGGCACCTGTGCTGGCTCTGGGAACATGTTTTTTTCTAATTTCATGGTAGCTGCATCTGCAGAAGCTGTAAACGGCATGGCTCTTTTCACGTCATCCTCCTCATCTCCTCCTGTTGTCCATGGCGGTTCCGCTCCCACATAGTTCTGTTTTATCTCCTCATGCTTTGAGCCTCTTACCTGACTTATAGCTCCTAATTTTGTATCATCCCAATCATCACTCAGCACAGAGACAGCAGGAGCCACTGTGACAGCACTAGCTTCCACGCGCAAACTTCCTTGCCTGCTGTCGGTTTCTGCTTCCAAATTTAGGGAGGCATCAGTGGATACAAATGTCTGTTCCGCAGTGAGGGCATCTGCAGCTGTTAGCTGCAACAGGCTCCCTCCTTTGGGAGTTCCGTGCTCTGAATCAGCTGTTTGATCGGCCAAAATTACGGGGCTTGTGGGGTAGTCACTCACCACCTCTGAGTTTTGGGCTCTGGGGTGCAGAGTGGGTCGTTCTTCATAGCTCAGCTGGGGTGTAGCTGAGAGGTCGGAACCATCATCTGCCTTCTTCTTTCCTTCTATAGCATCCGTCCTAAAAAAGTAGTTATCCAGGTCACTAATAAAACTATGCCCTGCCTCTGTGCTACCTCCTACTGTTGTCTTGATCACCGTACTACTGAGCACATCAGCCTCAATGTCCGGGTTGAGAGTTGTCAATGCTGTTGTTAGCATGGCCTTCAATAGCCCGTTTTCACTCAGTTCTTTGTTTGGCCCAGTGGGACTCAACTCACTTTCGTCTGTTGCAACCATTGACTCCACAGGGGTATAAACATCAAGGCTCTTGCTGCCTATGAAAAGATTATCGCTAAGACTCGTGTGTTGCGTTTCTCCTTTAGCAGTGAAGATCTTGTTTAATGAAGTCCCAGATGGCTCTGCTGATACCCCAGATGGCTCTTCTGTGACAGCAACGTGGGCTGTTTGCTCAGAAGGGCGTAGGTTATTTTCCAGGCTTTGCATGCTCATGCTCTTGTCTTCCAGCCCATTCCCTGCCAATGCAGTTTGTTGGACCCACCCTGTGTCTTTCTTCAGTGTCTGAAAGCTTAGGCATTGCAGGCTGGTGGAGTAGAGCAGGATGCTGCATATGACCATGCAAATGTGAAATCCTATTGATCTGCTCATATTGGAAGAAAGATGTGCACGGAACCTTGCAGACTTGACAATTCCAGGAAGTGAGCCCTAGGAAAAGAAAAACACAGTGAACAAATTAGTCACTTGTAAACGCTTCAAATTAACACTTTAAGATAAATGCAGGTAAATGGGTCACCTTGACAATGGGACAGGTTAATAGTCTCTAAGGTAATTTGTGGTCAGGAATTGACACTATTCTTTTTCCATCCCTGCTATTTATTTTGGTCATTCC